TCTCGGCCCGGCGTGGTGGTCTCGGCGCGGCCTGGAGGTCTCGGCCCGGTGTGGTGGTCTCGGCCCGGCGTGGTGGTCTCGGCGCGGCCTGGAGGTCTCGGCCCGGTGTGGTGGTCTCGGCCCGGCGTGGTGGTCTCGGCGCGGCCTGGAGGTCTCGGCCCAGCCTGGAGGTCTCGGCCCGGCGGGGTGGTCTCGGCACGGCGTGGAGGTCTCAGTTCGGTGTGGAGGTATCAGCCCGGTGTGGTGGTCTCGGTTCGGTGTGGAGGTCTCAGCCCAGCGTGGTGGTCTCGGCCCAGTGTGGAGGTCTCAGCCCAGCCTGGAGATCTCAGCCCAGCGTGGCAGTTTTAGCCCAGTTTTCCTGGGTACCCCAAACCCAGGAGTCATTAATTGAACTGTCATGAACTTTTACTTCTTTTCGTCTTATTTATGACTTCTGTCATTAATTTAGGTGCCGTGGTATGGCGACTTATAAAACTTTTCACCGTACTTTTATTTTGTCAAAATACACCTGACAATAAATTGCCATTCTATTTTATTCAGCGCTTCAAGGCTGCTGTGCTGTTCATTATGATCATGGTTGATCTTCTAACTCAAAAGCCTGTTCCTGCTTTTTCTCCATATCCTTTGATCCCTTTAGCCCTAAGTTCTATATCCAAGACCTCTTTGAAATCTTAGATACTTAATTCCAGATATTTATTGAATTCAAATTCCACCATCTCCCACAGTAGGATTTGGACCCAGGTCTCCAGAGCTCTGGATTAATAGTCTAGTGCTAATCCCACTTGGCCATTACCTGGTAGGCCCTCAGCTGCTGTTATTGACGTTGAACTGGTTTACTAAACTGCAGCAAATATGTCTTCCCAATGCCAGACTTGTTTAAATCATAAATGTACTGTTGGAAAGACAGTATTGCTGGCAAACATTGAGAATCTTCCTTTCTCCTAAACAATCTAAAAGGATAGCTTCCAACATCTGAACTAATTGACTTCTTGTTCAAAGAACGGGCAGTTTTTCTATGTTCAGATTTAACATCAATAGCCCACTAACAGTACTCTGATTTTGTAATGGCACTGATGGTGAAAGTGTCAGAGCATGCTCAGCCCTTGACTGAACCTGACAGTAAGTTCAGGAATCTACACACGAGCAGAATAAGGCAGCGAGCCAGAAGCTACTGTCTATCACTCTATGCTTCTCCAGATCAGTGCACTGTTGGAAGAATTCCTCAGCATCACCCTCCCCCCATTCCCATCCCCAACACTCACTCACTCTTCCCCCAACCCCTCCAGGTCAGGCTGCAAACAATGAGAAATCTGTGGTCTGATCAGCCGTTCCATTCCAAATGCTGATCGCCTCCCTGTTAAACCCCATGAAAAATATATATGCCACCTTCAATGAGGTGTAACTGGGTTTAAGGTGGTGAACTAACTCCATAACTGCTGCTAAACAACTCACTGGCCCTTCTCTTTCGTTTTAGCTCCTATCTTAATCCAATCATAGACATTTATTCTGCTGCCTGACATTTTAAATGAGAGGTTAAGGGATTCAGTGCTTTTAACTTCCTGGTCTCTCCTGGTAAGAATATTTCAGTATGATTGGCTGCTTCTTGAGATCACTGCTGTACATACCTGGAGATCACCTCGATGTGGTGACCGATTTAAACTGCCAATGGGAAAGGGTAAAACTGTGCCACAGAGATCACTAGGCCACAAAATCCCAGTCTGTATAAATAGACAAAATAAGTTATAAAATAAATTATAAAAACTCAGCACAGCTCCGTTGGGAATGCCTCCAAACAAGCAGATACTCCCATCTAGAAGCACAGGGGTGGAAAATCCATGGAAACATCACCATCGAAAGGTTCCACTCCAAGCCACACACCAGCCTGACTTGAAACTATGTGACTGTTCTTTCATTGACGAAGGGATCAACATCCTAAAACTCTTCCCAGCAGCACTGGTGTACATTTACCACATGGACTGTTACAATTCAAGATGCTGGCTCCTTCCCATCGCATTTAATGTTGAACAACAAATTTTAACCATGAAAGAGTTCTTAAAAGAAAAACTGAAGCCAATCCTTGAGATCGTTGGGTCACGTTCTGAAGTCATAATTTTTCCTACATTTCTATTATTTAGACTCACAGTGAAATAATTCCTTTTGCTTTGCAAGTTATCAACTTTTTATCATAATGGGCTGGACGCCTGACAAAGAGGCAGGAAGGTTGAATTGGGAAACCCCTGCTTTGCAAACCTGTCTCCTTGAAAAGGGTCACCACCAGCCATATTTTCATTTTGTAGCAGCAAGAAGGAGATGGAGTGAAGTCTGCCATCCCCGGAGGTAGTTTAGAGGCAGCACAGGGCAGAGGCAGCAATTGATCTCAAAAAAAAAACTTATAATGATCTAATAGAAACTGCGTGCAAGCACACTTGATAATAAATTCTCATTCATGACCCAAGTTAAAGTATATCAGTCATCTCACGTGGTGAATCTGATGTTAAAAAGAAATCAACATTCTGGCATCAAGGATAGCTAATCCTTTAATGGCCTCTTAAATCTGCCATTCAAAATGCCTAGAGAGCCCCCTGCTGAGATCAGTGGTTCTGGATCTTTTGAAACACAGCAAAGCATTTGGCTATAAAAACAAATGCTAGGAAATATTAACAATGGAGTTGCAAAATCGTAAGGCTAGTGTTTCTTCCTGGGCTGTAGCAGCTGGGTTAATCGGTGTATTCCGGGAACATTACTCATTTTCTTTGCTCGAAATGGAAGTTGCAGGCTAATTTTTTCGGTCAGAGTATATCTTATTTTGGATCATGACACTTACACAGATCTAAAACCTGCCCTTTGCAAATTGTTATGCCCCCTTCATAAAATTATGGTTCCCATTTTGTGGGTTGAGCAAGAGTGGGACTGTTTGAAATAACAAAGTGTGGAGCTGGAGGAACACAGCAGGCCAGGCAGCATCAGAGGAGCAGGAGAGCTGACATTTCCGGTCGGGACCCTTCTTCAGAAAACGGGGGCTCTGAAATAAATAGAGAGAGGAGGGGTGGGGCTGGGGAAGGTAGGTGGGATGGTAATAGGTGAGTACAGGTAGGCAGTGGTGGGGATTGGTCAGTGAGGTGGGAGGGGTGGATAGGTGGGATAGGTTTGAACTTGGCACTCATTTCCAATGACCCCGCAGACTTGCGTTTCATGTCTGTGAGATTCATATCCCACTCCTGCTCCCTGCTGGCAAAAGTGAGTTCTTCTGGAATTGGGAACAGACTTTCCACATCCAGGTCCTATTTTGAATGGTCCGCTGAGTCAACTCAGCTTGGAGATAAACCACGCCAACATGTCATTGCATTGCTATCGGCATCTACATTGTTTCCTCTCAATTAAATAATGCATTTGGGGTTTTCAACTTTGCCAATGCTTGCGATTTATTTACATGCCTATACTTTTAAAGAAATGCTTGTACTCATGACTCATGCAAAAAGTTTAGATGTAATTTTCTTGCAAGTTCCAATAGCAAAAGTAAGCAAGAAAGTAAATTCTAAAGATGTGAGTCATAAGAGATCTCAGACTATTCACTCTTTAATAGCAGCACATTGAATGTTCAGTGCGGCAACATTCTGAGAGTCTAGTGAAACACATTGATCT